TTTTTTTTCCTTTGTTAAAAGCCTTTCACACTGAATGTTTTCTAAATTGGCTGGGGGGTGGCAAGGAATCCAGTTAGTGCTTAATCCCCCAGCCCATCCTCTCAGCAAATGGCTTGTGAAAGTCATTAATTTCACTGTAATTGATTTAAACGTTGCTCAGGAGGAGGAAAAATTAAGGAAACCAATGCCACTCTGAATAGAGAATTATGTGTTCTCAATTTTCTGTCAAATTATCTCCCCACGTGCCTGTTGTGTGCTGGTTGCTGAGCAAACACTGTGCCAGGGAGTCACACAGCAAATCCCAGCTCACAGAACCTGAGATGAGCTCCAGCACCAGAGCAGGAGGCAGGAGAGCCTGCAAAGGGCTTGGGTGGCTCCACCACCAAAACATGGGCACATGAGGCTTTGGGAAGTGGCCATGAAACAGCACAGAGCTGGAGCTGCTGACAGCCTCCTTGAAATGGCACTGCTTGTGGTGGAACTGGGCTTTTTATGAGGCAGCCACCTGTTCCCCTTGCATTAGTCATTGCTACTACTGGATCCCCAGCTGTAAAGTAGTTTTAATTAAAATTATTTATTGCTCAGTAAGATTTCTCCCCTATTTTGGGTGTATCTTAGAAGATAACATTTTTTCCTTATCACTTCATCACTGGGCTTACACTTCAAAGGACTGTATCTGTGGATGTCACTGTGATCAGAATAGAGGATGTGGATTTTAGCTGAGCAGTGACGTACAATCGATGTATTTTTAAGCTGAGCTTAGCTTTATTTTGCATTTTTATTTATACCTCTGACAACTGAATGAGTGTCCTGGCTCCAAGCCATATCTCTCAATAATAATGATCTTTTCTTCAGATTCTTGGGAAGTGGCTTCTCCACCATATTGTGCATGTTCTCTTGACATCTTAATGCAGTTTCTAGGTCAGTGAGCTAAGAAAAGACTTTAGGTGCCACTAAAGCCTCCTTAAAGGAGAACCAGCCACAGGCTGGCCAGCTTATGGCACTTAGAGAAATCAATTATTGTCATGTACTCCTTCACGCTGTGCCAGATCAGTTAAAGCTGGAGCAGTGTGATCAGGTTTCACTCCAACTGCAGGACTTCCCATGCTCCTCCCCTCAGACCACCTGTGTGAATGGATGTTGCTCTTGGACCCATCAGGTGTTCAGGTCTGTCTGGGAAGCTGAGGGACTCCCTGCAGGTCTCACCTGACACCCACTTGGGCAGGGGTAACTCAGTGTTTCAGGCTCCTGGGAAGGCTGAGGGGTGACAGCAGGAGCACTGGGAAGTGAAGATGTCTCAGTGTGCAGGTGGAGGTCAGCCTGGAGAAACTGCTTCACTGTCTCTGGGGGAGTTCACCTGGGAGGAGCTGCCAGGGAGGGAGGGGTGTGTGTGTCCCCAGGAGCTCTTCTCCCCAGTGCACTGCTGGAGCTGTGTGCCCAAGGGAGGCAGGACAGCTGCAGTACCCCCTGCTTGTGTTGTTGGATCCTCAGCCCCTCCAAACTGGGGCTGCCATTCCCCTGTGTGGATACTGCATGGATGAAAAAAACCTGGAAGCTCACATCAGCAAACTAATCCATGAGCACCCCGAGATGTTTGAAAGACTCTGTTCTTTAATATGCTTCAAGTGCCCCAAAGAGAAGGTGCAGGATCAGGGCTGGGAGGGTTCTGGTAGCCCCAAGCCCTCTCTCTCCTGCCCTGTGTGGAGCAGTAGTCCATGGGCTGGGTGGAACAGTGAGAAACTGAGCTCTGGCCAAGCAAAACACAGAGAAAATTTTTGGTGTGGTTCCTCTTCCTGCTCCCTTATCCTTGTTTTTCTCAGTTCACCTCTGCAGCCTGTGCCAAAGGACTGCTGCTGCCAATGGGACAGGCTGGGGTCCTTCTCTGGGGAAAGGGAGTGGAGCCTGGTGTCTTGCACCTGCAAAAATTAATATTTATCCTTTCTGCCAGGAGATGAGGCTGAACACTCGACACCTGCCAGATTGAACAGAGCAGTGCTGGTGGTGGATGGTCACCTGCTTGTCTTCAGAGGAGGCTGTGGGGCCAGGCCCCACTCCTGGGGCAGTGGGACACTGCACTGTCCTGCAGGAGACAAAGCCACCTTGTGAGAGTGACAGGCTGCCAGTGCACCCTCTGGCATACAGAAACTGAGGTGCACAAGCACTTTTTTTCCCCCCCATGCTCTCAGGAGTTGAAACTGAGCTCAGGCGCCATTGCTGGCTGCACTCACTGCCCCAGGGCAGTGGCAGCATCCCAGAGGAGCTGCAGGGCCATGGACACGGGGGTGTGGCTGGTGATGGGCACTGTGGCTGGTGACAGTGGCATGGGCAGGAGGACAGAAGGCAGCTCTCTGCAGCACAGGGCCTTGGAGATGCTTTTTTAAGCCAAAATCTGTGTCTTGCCTCTCCCAGTGCCTGCCATGGGCTCTAGCAGGGTATCAGCAGCTTTGTGTCCTTGCTGGTGGCTGTCCTCTGAGCCTGGGGGGGGGGTGACCCACAGCACCTCAGGGGTGCTTCGTGCAGGCAGAGCTGTGTTCCTGTTTTCCAGAATATTTCCCTCTGCTCCAAACATCTGCTCAGTGCAACCAGGGCTGTGTGTGGGAAAGGCACACGGTGGGATGCTCTGGCTGCCCTCAGTGCTGTGGGAAGCCCCACATTTCAGGACTCAGCTGTGCCCCAGGTCCCAGTTTGTGCAGTGGGAGGTGACAGTGCCCATGGCCACAGCTGGATGAGCAGAATGAGCTGCCATGGGCTGTGCCAGGAGCTGATGGCCTGGGCAGACTACAAGATTGGTTTGTGAGTGTCACTGTGTCATGTTGGTGATTGCTGTGCCTGGGGAAGGGGAGGTCACAGCCCCTTTCCTATCTGCATCCCTGCTTTTTGTGTGAGTGCTCTTGTTTCATAAGGTCTGGAGCTACAGCCTGTGCTGGCATGCACTGTGCTCTTACCTGGTGTCTTTTCAGCCACTATTCAGCCGTGGTTATTGAAACCCTGAGGTGAAAAACGAGCTGCTCCTTTGTTAGCCTGTCCCTGTGCTTTGTTGCAGTGCTGAGGTGGTTGCACTGTTCTGTGTGAAGGGGCAGTGTGTGTGTGTGATGTAGCGGGACAGAGCCTCCATCTCCTGGTGGCACAGGCACATGGCAGCCGGCTCTGCCTGCAGGAGCTGTCCAGGACAGGGACCCAGAGCTGGCCCAGGAGGCTGAGGGAGGATTTGGGATGTGGGGGGTCCTGCCAGGCTCAGCCCCTCCATCACAGGTTTATCCTCAGTCCCCTTGGGCTGCCAGGCCAGGGAAGCAGGCTCTGCTTGGGTTCTCTCTCCAAAACTTAGAAATTTTTGTCCTCATCCTGAAGAAGATTCTCACAAGGTTATGTTAGTGCACACCTGCCCAAAAGAAGCCTCAGCATCATCCAGCATATTTTTCCAAGGTTTACTGGAAGTGAGGAGCTACCACACAGGCAGTTTCAGGAGAGGGTAGCTCAGGGATTTTCTCTGATACAGCTTCTGGTACTGGGCTCAGCAGGTTCACACTCTCCCAAGAGTACAGAACTGAATCTGGAGTCCCCCAGAATGCCACATTCAAAGTATTTTTCACAAGTAGTAAAGAAAGTTCTCAGCTTTGCAGCTGCAGCTGGAGGCCCAGGGATTTCTCCTTTCAAGATTTGCCCCTTCTGTCACTTTTCTCCCCTCTGGGCTCCTTGTGAGTGTCAAGTATCTGGAACGAAGGGAGACTTCATGCAGACATTCAGTTTCTGTTTAGTAATTGATTTTAAAAGATTTACAAAGGAATTGCAAATGGATCTGAGCAAAGACAGAAAATGACCACAAAAGAGAAAAGAACAAGACAGGGTGAGGTGGAGCTGTGCCAGCAGCCCTGCAGGGCCTGCCAGGCTGTTATTCACCCCTCAGTGCACTGCCAGCCCTTGCCCATGGCAGCTGGGGACACTGGCCCATGGCTGATGGGCCAGGGGGACACTGCTGTGCTGCTCAGGCTGTGGCCCTGCTCTCTGCTGGCTCTGTGGTTTAATTTAAGGTGGCAGAGCCACCTCCAGAGTCCTGCAAAGAGCCAGCTGCACGTGCAGGGCCTGTGAGCTCCTGGCACAGCGTGCCTTGGCCCAGGCCTGCCTGCAGTTCCTGAAGCTCACAGAGAGCCAGCATTTCCCTGTGTCAAGTGCTCTCACATTTGAATTGTGCAAGTCTTCTCTCAGGACTATTCTGCTTTCCAATGATACCAGCTGGGAAGGTTCTGTGTGCAGGGCCTCACTGAGTATCCCCCAGGAAGCTGGAGGTGCAGTGTGGGGGACACCTGTGTCTGCAGGACAGTGGCAGGGAACCTTCCAGAAGGGGCATGGTGGTGGCACTGATGGCACACATGCACCATGTCAGGGCCCAGGTCACAGCTGGTGGACAGCCCGAGGTGTCCTTGTGGCTGAGCGGGATGGTGCCCTCAGGTTTTCCCCCGAAGCCTGAGCTCAGACACAGCCCGAGGCACTGCAGCTGCCCCTGAGCTCCTGCCCCTCAGGAGGAGGAGCAGGGGAACGAGGGGCACTGAGGGGAAATGGCTGGGGAAGGAGGGACACTGAGGGGGAAATGGCTGGGGAAGGAGGTGCAGTGAGAGGGAAATGGCTGGGGAAGGAGGGACACTGAGGGGGAAATGGCTGGGGAAGGAGGTGCAGTGAGAGGGAAATGGCTGGGGAAGGAGGGACACTGAGGGGGAAATGGCTGGGGAAGGAGGTGCAGTGAGAGGGAAATGGCTGGGGAAGGAGGGACACTGAGGGGGAAATGGCTGGGGAAGGAGGTGCAGTGAGAGGGAAATGGCTGGGGAAGGAGCGGCACTGAGGGGGAAATGGCTTTTCCCAGTCCATTCCCCAGGGGGATGTGCTGCCTCTCAGAGCACAGCCAGCTCCTTGAGCCCAGGGGAGGGGGGGCTCACCCCATGCCCCTGAGCAGCCTGTGCTGACTGTGTCCTGTCCCCCCCTGTGCTGACCCTGTCCTGTCCCCACAGGTGTCCCTCAGCCAGGAGTGCACCCGCGCCATCATGAAGCTGATGTACTGCCCGCACTGCCGCGGCATGGCCAGCGTGAGGCCCTGCAACAACTACTGCCTGAACGTCGTCAAGGGCTGCCTGGCCAACCAGGCCGACCTCAGCACCGAGTGGAAGTACCTGATGGGTGAGATGGCCGCTCCCTGCTAAGCTGCCCCTCATCACCCCTGGCTCCCCGAGGCTGTGTTGGGCGAGCAGAGAGGGCGGTGGGAGGCTCAGGGATGTTGTTTGCACTGGTGAAGCTCTCAGAGCTCCTTATGGCCACACAGAATTGCCCAGCAAGCTCCTCTCTTTGTCCCACTGAGCCCTGAGGGGGCCTTGCTGCTTGTCTGGGCTCAGGGAGGGCAGCACCAGAGGACATGGCCTTGGCCTTGGCCTTGTTTTGCCTTGCCTTGGCAGCAAAGCTGCCAGCTCAGCCCCAGCTGGAGCCCCCAGGCTGGCTCGGGGTTGGCATTAAGGACAAAACCCCACAAAGTCAAGGAGTGCCACCTGCCTCTCGAGGGACACTGCAGCATGGATGGGGAGGCAGCAGGCACTTCTGGAGAGGTGCCCAGGCCAGCTGTGCCACCGCTAACTGAAATGCTCTGTGGGAGCAACTGGGAGCCTGCTGCAAAGGAGGGGAGGAATTGTCCCTTCCCCAGGGCTTTGGTGGCCCTTTGGCCTTTCTGACCAGAGCCAGCCAACTGTTCCTGTCACTCTCTCCTGGCAAGATGACAGCCTCTCCTGAAACACCGCTGTACAGCTTTCCTTGATTGACAGGGAAGCAGCTCCATGTGCATTTTGCATTTATTCTGGTTTCCTCTTCCCAAGAGACACTGTCAAGGGGTGACAGCTAGGAGGAAATTGGAGCTTCTTTCAAATTGTAGTTTTACATTTCAGTGTCAGAGGTCACAGACTGATCAAGAATGGGAGCAAATTATGGAGTCAGAGGCAGCAGTTCACTGGTGGTGTCCTTCCTTCACCCTTCTCCAGGCCCTTCTGTGTAGCCAGAGATGATTTTGTTACACTAAAAACAGAGTTTCTCTTTCAGTTTGACAAATTAGGGCAGGTCAAATTAAGGGAGATTTTTATAGTAAGTGGTTCAGATATAATTTTTCACTGTTTAGGGCTGCAACCTTTGATTTAAATGTTTGTATCTCAAGATTAGTGCCTCTTCAAGGCACTATTTGTCTGAAATATACAGTCACAAAGATGACACCACAACCCCTGAGTGGCAGCAAAGTTAAACTGCAAGCTTTTCAGTGTTACAGGAGATTTTATTTACCAGAATACAAAAAGTTACCAAAATTTACCCCCTTATATTGAGAGCATATCGGCTGTCCCTCCTTCAGACCCAGCTGGAGTGTTGAGAATTGTCTTTGGGGGTAGGCACAGGTTGGTAATTCTTTGTAAGCTGTGGGAAATGGATTTACAGAAAATTCTATACAGTAATCCAACCATCCAAAATCCAGCAGTATCCAAGCACAGTCCCAAAGCAGCCATGCAAGCAGGAGCCTCCAGGGCAGGTGGGAGTGCTGGGACAGCAGAGCTTTCTAGAGGAGCTGAGGCAGCCCTCAGTCACTCCCTGTGCTGTTTACCAGTTAATACTGGTCTGCTTGTGTACCTGTATAGCCTGATGTCTCCCTGGCTGCTGTCCTTCCAGAGGTGAAGGTGACAACAATTACTGCTTTTCTCCCTCCTTCCCTGCCACAGAAGATATTTCCCACATCCACTGTCCCTGGCACCTTATTGACCCCAGTTCTCCCACTTTCTCCTGGCTGCAGTGCTTTGCTGAAGACATGCACTGAGTTAGGAGGGTGAGGGCCAAGTATTGGTGTTTCTTAATAATTCTGCACCAGTTTTCTGCTTTTCCTTTCCTTTTTGTCCCCCAGGGAAATGCTGGTTACTTTGGGTGAACACTACCCAAAGTGTATTTACCATTTGCAGGAGGTTCCTTTGCCACAGAAGAGTGGCTTTGCCTACCTAAAGTAGGGAAAACAAAAATTAGGGAAAACAAGAGTGCACCTGGGCAGTGGTGAACATGGAGAGCTGTCTCCCAGCAAGGAGAGCTGCCAAGGGCCCAGCAGCTTGTCCCACTCAGGATGAGCTATCTGTGCCTTGCTGTGCCCAGAGTGGTGGTGAGAGCTGTGCCTGCCTTGCTCTGCAGATTCCCTCATGGGGGTGGCCGATCGCATCGACGGGCCCTACAACGTGGACACCGTCATAGGCACCATCCACATGAGGATTGCTGAAGCCATCTCCAACCTGCAGGAGAACAAGGATTCCATCACAAGCAAGGTAGGAGAGTGTGCCTGGGCCTGCCTGAGAATACATCATGTGCCACTGCCAGGACCAGGTGCTCTTCTGTGCTCACTCTTCAGCTGAACTGGTGTTGCCGGGCTTGCAAGGGTTGCAGGGTGAAGAGAGAGGCGAGAATCTTGACCTCATATTCAGAAGGTTTGATTTATTATTTTATTATATATATTACATTATTACTATACTAAAAGGAATAGAGAGAAAGGTTCTCAGAATGCTAGCAAGCTAAGAATAGAAAAGGAATGAATAAACAAAGGAGCTCTCTCTGATTCTGTCCCAGAGAGATCTCGGCCTGTGATTGGCCCTTAATTGTACACATCCAACATGGGCCAATCACAGATGCACCTGTTGCATTCCACAGCAGCAGACAACCATTGTCTACATTCCTTTTCTGGGGCCTCAGCTTCCCAGAAGGAAAAAATCCCAAAGAAAGGATTTTTCACAAAAGATGTCTGTGACAAACTGGGAGAGAGGAAGAGTGAGAGAGAGCAAATGCCCACTCTTTTAATGATAAATTACCTTGGTTTCTTACCACCCATCTGACACAGGCAGAGTTGTTTTCTCCACCTTTGCAGGTGCTCCCTGCCATATCCAGGCAGCCTCCTTTGGCCACAGGCACAGGAGGTGGGACTGCACACAGTGATGGGGGTGCATGTGCCATTTGCAGTCAGGGCCCTCTGTGCTGAAGCTTTGAGCTGTTTTGGCTGAGCTGAGGCATTTACACAAGTGCACAGTCCCCAGTGACAGGAGGCAGCTGCTCTAACCTGCCTCCAGGGGATCTCCTGCAGGGGGAACACTGGGCTATCAGGTGGTGCCAGGGGACAGAGCTGCAATCTGGCAGTCCATCTGGAGAGTACAAACCAGGCTCTCCTGAGGCTCACCTGTCTCCCAAGAAGTATCATGAAGGTCTCTTCTGTTGGTCTTCTATGTTTAATATATTTATCCACTTAACCACAGTCACCTCTGTAGCTGCAGGTGAGGGAAGCCTGGGGAACAAAAGCAGCCCTCCAGGGCTCCTGCCTTCTGCCCTGACACTCCTCAGGTCCTGCAGCTATCCCACAGTCAGGGCAGAGATGCAGATGAAAGAAGTGGGACAGGTTCTAACTGGGTTTTGGATAAGGGTAGGGCCAGAAGTGCTGCTTGGCAAACAGGAATTCACTGGCACACATCAAACACACTAACAGCTGAGTGCATCCAAGTGCTGGGTTAGGTTTCTTTTCTGACATGAAAGGCAATGTTCTTTCTTCCCTCATTAGGTGAGACTGAGGCTTTCCACATAAAAGCAAATCCATGGTGTGGGAAAACATAGCATCATCTGCAGAGAAAGGTGTTTCCAAGGGGAATACAGTAAATCTGGTGACATGAAAGGGGCTAAGCAGTCTAACTGGTGTTTGGTTGGAGCAACCAAACAGGATTGATAAGCTCCTCAGTATGACCTGGGGAGCAGGAGCAGTCTGCTGGTGGCACAGGTAGCAGAGGGCAGCAGCTGCCAAGCTCTGAGCTCTGGTTTTGAGCATGGCAAAGCCATCAGATGGAGGATGGTGTTGTCAGCTGAGTTCAGTCCTGGCCATCTCAGAGGCAGGGCCATGACCCAGGCCAAGGGCACTGCTGTTAAGGTAACCTCCCAGTGTGAGCAGTCAGGAGGCGTCTGGCAGCCACTCTCCCACCATCAGACACTGTCCCTGCAGCCCCTGGGAGTGGCAGGGCACAACCCCAGGTCCCTGCTTTTCCTCACTGGTTCCACCCCAGGTTTCCCATGGCAGTGTCAGACCTCTCCTTCCATAAAGCAATTTATTCACAGCAGAGTAACACAAATAAAGCTTGAGCTGGTGCCTCTTAGGCCAACAAAGGAACTCCTGGGCTTTTATCCCCTCACAGTCCAAGCATGCAGAAGTCTCACCCAGCCCTCTCAGTGCCTGGTCACTGGCTGGTGCCACAGGTCCTGTGCCCTTTATTATGCCAAGGGTGGGCAGCTCACAGCCTCTGGCTCCTGCAGCTGCACCTGCACAGAGTGCCCTCCTCCCCGCAGAATGCTTTCTTGGAGAGGAGCCAGGAGTGGCCCTTGCCCCAGTGCCACCCTGTCACAGGCTGTCCTGGGAGCTGGGTGAAGCTCTAAAGAAGCACTTGTGGTACCAAGCCTTGTGTTCAGGGCAGCATGGAGCCCTCCCTGCTTCCTCACACTTCCCCTTCTCCCTGTGGCTCTCATGGATTTCAGGCAGCAGGAGCTGTCAGAGGCTGCAAATGCATGTTTGCTCTCATTGTTCAGGGACTGTTGGCCCCTCAGTCTGCTGCAGTTGTTTTCTCCAGCAGCAGTTTGCATCTCTCACCTGAAGCATTTGGAGTGGCAAGAGGTTCACCTTGGTTCAACTGTGCTGGAGCTGCCACTGTCCTGGACACCTCCCCAGATTTTATCTCCTGGGAAGGGGCCAGCAAGATAGAGCAGTGAAACCAAGGTTTTGTTTTGGTAGAACCAAGTTGAAAATGCTCTACATGCACTTTTCAGGGTGTGGGTTTTTTTGCACAGAGCTAACAAGACTGATGAACAAACAAAGTGCCTTGGTGCTGAGCTGCTGCAGTCATCAGATGCATCTGGCCAGCAGGACAGGGCACCCAGGAGGGCCTTTGGAGGCTGAGTGTCCCTCAGACAGTGTCTCCCTCACAGCCAGGGGCTCCTGGCCAGGTTAGCACGTGGCTGAGCCAGCGCCTTCAGCAGGTGGCACGAGCTGTGTCAGCAGAGCTCTGCCTGGCCCTGCCTCCTCTGCTTCAAGGGGACACCAGGCAAGGTTTATCAGCAGCTTCTGACAGCAGCCTGGCACCACAACGAGCTTGGAGCCCTCTTTTCAAATCAGGTGGGTTCCTTTGTAAAGGCTGGCCCATCCTGACTCAGACTGACAGTGCCAAGTCCCTCCTGGGCTCTGGTGCTTTGTCCCTCTGAGCTCTCCTGCCACCAGTGGGGCTTGCTGCCCAGCCCTGGTGATCTGCTGATGCAGAGGCTGGGAGAAGCTGGATTTTCCACCCTTCACCTCACCCTAGAGGCCAGGTATGAGGGTTTGGACTTTCCCAGTGCTTCTGCTGCTCTCTGGCCACAAAGCACACCCGGGTAGGTAGTTGGGATGATAGGAGGTACCTGAAGAGAACAGATAAATCAGCTCTGCTGCCTCATTTGCCCATGAAACATCCAACCTGACAGACTGTGGCACATCTGCTGTCCTGGCAGTGCCCTGCTGGAGGCACACTGATTTCCCAAGTGGGGATGTTGATTGCAGGAGCCATGGGGATAGTCCCACATCAGTCTCTTGTCCATCAGTGAAGCTCCCATGCTCTGTAGTCTCGAAGCCCACACCACTGATGCAGAGTGTGAGCAACTCCCATCTTTTTCTTCCCAGGATTTTATTTTCCAGTCATAAGAAGAACAGATAAAATTGCTATAAATAATTTAATATCAATATTGGCGACTCATCCAAAAACATGTGTTACTGCTGAATATTTTGCATGATAGTGGTAACCAAAACCAGTTACAATGTGCTGAAAACACATCTGGCACTAGAAACTAAGCCAGAATCTCTGAGAATCTTGGCAATAGGAAGGATAAATATACTTAAGAAGGAAAAAACCCCATAACTGTGGAGTGTTAAATAATTAAAGGAATGGCATCGAAACATGGGATAGAGAGTTTGGTTTGTTTTTCAGGTATTCCAAGGCTGTGGAAATCCCAAAATCAGCACAAAAGGCTCCAGCAGTGAGGACAAGAAGAGACGGGGCAAGGTGACATTGGAGGCCAAGTCCTCTGCCCAGGCCCTGGAGATGCTGGTGGGTTTGAGCTGGAGCTGCTCTGGGTCCTGCAGGCTGGGTCACACTGTGCTGGGGCTGGAGAAGATCAGATCATCAGGGGCTGCTGTAACCCAGCACACCTGCTCTTCTTGCCTCTGCAGGGTTGGGAATAATAACCAATAGATAACCAATTTGCTGATAAGCAATTTCCCAGGGATTTGGTGCCAGACTTACCTGAAGAGGCTCCTAGTCTGATGGTCTTCTCCTGGTTGGTCTTGTGGTACTGGAGCAGTGCTTGGCATGTAACCTTTAGCCTTGGGCACTTGGGTTGTTGATTGGTCTTTAGGGGAAGGTTGATGGTACAACCTATTTTGCATGAAAACAGATTTTGTGACAGTAAAACAAAAAATACGCAGAATCCTTGTACTTTCCTCTGCCCTGGGGCACCCCAGACTTCCTGTGGCCCTGAGCATCCCCTTTGCTTACAGGTTTTAGATGCCAAAGGGAATCTGACAGCTCTCAAGACATACTGGATCACCCTGCCCAGCAGCCTGTGCAGCAAAAAAGTAATGGCCAGCTCAGCTTCAGATGACAAATGTTGGAATGGGATGACCAAGGGCAGGTATGGAGTGGCTCACAGTGCCACAGTGCTCATCCTTGCTGAGAGGAAGGGTTTGAAAAGGCACTTACCCATCATCACAGCCAGCCCTGCTTGTTCAGAGTGAGCAGTCTGTGCCTGTCCATAGAAAGGCTGCATTGCAGGAAATCTCGTACCTGGGAATGGCAAGCCTGGTGTGGTTTTGCTGTGTGTTGAGGGTTAAGCACTGTAATGCACTCAGCATGAAATAACTGTGCAGTTTTCTACTAAGGAAGCAGTTCTGCAATTCCACATGCACTCAGAAGGCAGCAGGGCTGGATTTCCCACACAAGCTGCAGAGAATTGCACACACATCCCTCTCTCCATACCTGCTCTGAGAGGGGACACCTGGGTGACATTAAACAGCTGCAGAAACAGTTCCTACCCCAGCCAAGGTCAAAGGATGGCTGAGGGGACATTGGCAGCTGCTGGACCTTTCTCCTCTTGTCTCTGCAGTCCTCTTGGGCTTGGCTTTGCCAGCCTGAAGTCAACACTTTCAGTTCTTCCATATTTCACATTGTTGCCAGCAGTGTCCCAGATGTGCAGGAGCAGGAGGACCAGGGCACTGTGGAAGGCAGCAGTGCAGCTCTGGTTGACAGCTCCCAGCTAATTAGGCTTCCCTGGGAGCCAGTCTGGTCAAACTGGGCTGGGGCCATTCAGTGGTCCCAGGGGCTCAGTCTCCACAGGGTTTAACCAAGCAGGAATTAAAATGCTCCTCAGCCTCCCATCTGAACAGAGATTTTCCATAGGGGAGTGTCACTGTGGGCCCATTGGTACCAGCCTGAGAGCAAGCCCTGTGCCTTTCCTGCAGGAAATCCCTCCCCATGCTGGGACAGGGGTGCTGCAAAGCCACCCAGCCACCTCCTGCAAGCTGAGACCCCTCTGCTGGGCTCTGGCCATCCAGAGAGCTGGGCTGCCCAGCAAACACCAGCTGCAGGGGCTGTTCCAGAAGTGGCACTGGCTGCAGCCTCTCTGGGGCTCAAAGAGCCTGGGTTATCCCTGGTGTCTGTAGGGAGAGCTGAGCTGAGCTGAGCTGGGGGCAGACATCTAAACCTTCTGCCTTCCTTCCCAGTTACCTGCCCGAGGTGATGGGGGATGGCCTGGCTAACCAGATTAACAACCCAGAGGTGGAGGTGGACATCACCAAGCCGGACATGACCATCCGCCAGCAAATCATGCAGCTCAAGATCATGACAAACCGCCTGGGCAACGCCAACATCGGCAACGATGTGGATTTCCAGGACACCAGTGAGTGCAGCACAACCACAGGGGTTCAAGGGGGGGTCAAGGGGGGCAAGCAGTCCTGCAGCCTGCAAGGTGTCCCTGCAGCCTGCACAGTGTCCCTGCAGATGGGGGCAGGGAGGGTCTGTCTTTTGGTGTGGCTTTTGGCTTGGGGCTGCTCAGGGGCTGCTTGAGTGCAGATAATTTGTGGGGTTGCTGGAGGCTGTGCTGCTCCCAGTGCCTCACTGAAACCTGCAGGGCTGTCCCCAGTGCCAGCCCTGCTGACAGGGCCATTGCTCTGTCTGCTCCAGAGTTTGCAGCTGCTGCAGCAACAGTGACTAAAGCCAGCAGGAGGTCAGATATGGGCTTGTATCCCATATCTGTGTGCACTGTGTGCAGTGTGTGTGTGTGCAGTGTGTGTGCACTGTGTGCACTGTGTGCAGTGTGTGTGTGTGCACTGTGTGTGCACTGTGTGCAGTGTGTGTGTGCAGTGTGTGTGTGCAGTGTGTGTGCACTGTGTGCAGTGTGTGTGTGTGCAGTGTGTGTGTGTGCACTGTGTGTGCACTGTGTGCAGTGTGTGTGTGTGCAGTGTGTGTGCACTGTGTGTGTGTGCACTGTGTGCAGTGTGTGTGTGTGCACTGTGTGTGCACTGTGTGCAGTGTGTGTGTGCACTGTGTGTGCACTGTGTGCAGTGTGTGTGTGTGCAGTGTGTGTGTGCAGTGTGTGTGTGTGCACTGTGTGCACTGTGTGCAGTGTGTGTGTGCACTGTGTGTGCACTGTGTGCAGTGTGTGTGTGTGCAGTGTGTGTGTGCAGTGTGTGTGTGTGCAGTGTGTGTGCACTGTGTGCAGTGTGTGTGTGTGCACTGTGTGCAGTGTGTGTGTGCAGTGTGTGTGTGTGCACTGTGTGCACTGTGTGCAGTGTGTGTGTGTGCACTGTGTGTGCACTGTGTGCAGTGTGTGTGTGTGCAGTGTGTGTGCACTGTGTGTGTGTGCACTGTGTGCAGTGTGTGTGTGTGCACTGTGTGCAGTGTGTGTGCACTGTGTGCATTGTGTGTGTGCAGTGTGTGTGTGTGCACTGTGTGTGCACTGTGTGCAGTGTGTGTGTGTGCACTGTGTGCAGTGTGTGCAGTGTGTGTGTGTGCACTGTGTGTGCACTGTGTGCAGTGTGTGTGTGTGCAGTGTGTGTGTGCAGTGTGTGTGTGTGCAGTGTGTGTGCACTGTGTGCAGTGTGTGTGTGCACTGTGTGTGTGCAGTGTGTGTGCACTGTGTGCAGTGTGTGTGCACTGTGTGCAGTGTGTGTGTGCAGTGTGTGTGTGTGCACTGTGTGTGCACTGTGTGCAGTGTGTGTGTGTGCACTGTGTGTGTGTGCACTGTGTGCAGTGTGTGTGTGTGCAGTGTGTGTGTGTGCACTGTGTGTGCAGTGTGTGCAGTGTGTGTGTGTGCAGTGTGTGTGTGTGCACTGTGTGTGCACTGTGTGCAGTGTGTGTGCAGTGTGTGTGTGTGCACTGTGTGCAGTGTGTGTGTGTGCACTGTGTGTGTGCAGTGTGCAGTGTGTGTGTGTGCAGTGTGTGTGTGTGCACTGTGTGCAGTGTGTGTGCACTGTGTGTGCACTGTGTGCAGTGTGTGTGTGTGCACTGTGTGTGCACTGTGTGTGCACTGTGTGCAGTGTGTGTGCAGTGTGTGTGCACTGTGTGTGCACTGTGTGTGCACTGTGTGCAGTGTGTGTGTGTGCAGTGTGTGTGTGTGCAGTGTGTGTGCACTGTGTGCAGTGTGTGCTCACCCCACGCTGTCTCTGCACAGGTGACGACATGAGCGGCTCCGGGAGCGGGGACAGCTGTCCTGATGACGTCTGTGGCAAAAGACTCTCTAAGAGCCCCAGCACCAGGCAGCCAGAAACACACGCCATTCCTAAGCAGTCCGGACACGGCGTCCATGGGGCCAGCAGCCGATCTTTGCCTTCTGCCTCCCTCCTCCTCCTCCTCCTCTGGGTGGCTGCCGTGGCCCCGCAGCACTTGTGGCGGTAACTCGCTGGCACAGCCAGGACACAGACTGCGGCTGAGGGCTTCACTTTGCCAAAACCAACCAACCAACAACCAACCAACCAAAGGACGTATTTAATTCACCTTGGCAAAAAAAAAAAAAAAAAAAAAGGGAAAAAAAAAAGGAGGAGAAAAAGGTTTTCAGAAGGTTTCAGTTGTTTGCTATTTCTGGCAGTGCTCGAGCTGTTTTCTTCTTTCTAGGTCTTTCCCCAATGCTGGGCCCTTCTTTCCATACCTCATTGTTTTACTTTTGTTATTGCCACAAACTGGCTCTTGGGGCTGGAGCCAGCCTCTGCAGAGGGCTCCGGGGAGCCGGGCCGAGCCCTCACGGGCAGCTGTGCTGCTGCTCAGTGGAATATGCAATTGCCCCGCCCCTGTCCCGCCGGGATCCTCGGCACGGCCCGTGCTGCCTCAGGGGCTCGTTGGGCTCTTCCTCTGTGCTTCCTAGCTGGGCAGAGATGGCCCTTCACCTCCGGTGGGGTACACAGGAGCGTGAGCAGCTTTGGTGGGTTGAACTGAACGAGTTTGGCAGCGGCTGTTGGACCCAAAAATGCAGAACTCGCTTTTCTTTGGAAAGGTCACAAGTGGGTTTCTTGACTAGAGCTCGTAGCTGAGGACAATTTGAAATGTAGGTTTCCTACATCTACGTGACTGGGAATGAGTGTTAGGGGTTGGGGTTTGGGTACTTTTTCTTTGCATGCTAGTTGGAAAGCCATTTTTTACCCAAGTAACAATGGTCCAATTTGTACCTGCAGTGCAGTACCATTGTAGGTAACAGAGAGATGCAGATGTGCACAGTGGGATTCTCTGTGTGACAGACACTTGTGCTGCCTCCTCCTTCTCTGGCCCCAGCCATAGACAGGAATCCAGGTTTTTTCTTGGTAATGAGAGAGACCAGGGACATTTTACTAACTGGAGCTTTGGGACTGGTTGTGCCCCTTCAAGCAGCTGCCTTAGGGCAGAGAGGGGCTGCTGGGGACCACCATGGGCCCTACCCAGGGCACTGGCTCAGGGGGGAATGTGAGAAAAGGAAACATTTTGTTTGGGATTTCTTTTTACCTTTGGTGTTTGTTTCAGTTGTACTGTAGGTTTTGAATGGATTCCCACTTTCCCTGTTCCTTCCCCATCATCCAGTTCACCTTCCCTAACCCCTTGCAGGCACGGGCTGAGCCAGTGGGTCAGACCCCCCTGGCAGCTCTGTTTGGGCTCAGGGGAGGGCCAGGCTCACCCTTTGCTCCCATCCCACCACTCACAGCCTTTGGGTGATGTGGCAGCTGCCCTAAGCCCAAATTGCTCAGTGGGGTGGGCTCTGGGCCAGGTTTGAGACTGGGGGTGGTGGGTGAAGTTACAAATGTCCTCCTGTAGCTGTAGGAGTGTCTGTGCTTGTTAGGGCTGTGTGTTGGGGCTTGCAGAGGCTGCTGTGCCTGATGGCAGCAGGCCTGGGCTGGAGCCAGAGGTGTAGCAGAGGCTGGTACAGCACAGTCCTGTGACTGCCTGGGCCAGCAGCACTCACAGCTTGGGTTTGAGCTTCACACAGGTTTGTGCTGGGCTGAGAGGGAGGGCACAGCTGGGCTGTCTCCTGCTTTTGCACAGCATCTGAGCATTTCTGCTCTGTCTTGCCGGAGGAGATGTGCCTTTGGGCTGAGCAAACATTTGGGGTTGGGCTTTGGCTGTTTTCTAAGAAAGGGGAAAAAACTCCCCGTTTTTAACATGAACAGTTTCTGAAGTGTGCAATTTAAGGAAAGATGAGGACATGAGCAAGGTAATGCTGAAAGCCAGTTCATTCCCTGCCCTCCCTGGGGCACTGAGGGTGCCTCAGAATAGGCAGAGCTTTTAGGCCAGCTCTGACAGCCTCTCCAAGCCACAGTGACCAATGTCACTGACTGTGCATCCTTTCTGCCTTGGCCTCGCCTCCCTGAAAGGCAAAAATCCCTGACCTGATCTGGTTGGGTGTCAGAAATGAACACTGGGTGCTGGACAATGGCTGAAGGACAGACAGTGCCACTACACCCATCAGAACCCTGCAGAGGATCAATGTAAGCAGTGGTTTTGTCTAGATTTATTTACTCCTAGACATATGCAAATTCACATGATTTTTACTGCTCTAAAGAGTTCCTATCTTTTCTTTTTAACTTTTTAAATCAGAATTGCAAATACAAATTTAACCTTCAGTTCCAACAATCCCCACAACCAATTCTGCAGAAGTTTTACATCCAAAGGGGAAAAAATTAAAGCTGGGGGGGAGGGAGGAAGAATTAAAACATTGTATTCTCTTCAAAACACAGCTGGGTTGGGGTTTTAACACGTGGATGCTGAGGTCAGTGGTTTGCTTTGCAGAATGGGAGCTTGAAAATCACTTCCATTTCTGTGCAATTACTTTTTGCTGTCTGCCTGTTATCCTCAAGAGCTTCTTATGGGCCCCTTCACATCTTAAATGAGAAGCCAGGAATTTACTGATTATCCAGTTAGTATTTTAACAATTTAATAGCCCAAACTAGTGGTTCTGTTACAAGATAAAAACCTGATAGTGCAAATTAATAAGGCAAAACCTTGAAGAAACAGTAAAATCTGTTCTGCAGGGGAAACCCTTCCTGAAGCCTTCACCTCTGGGCTGGGGTTGAGCTCCCACCTCCACATCCCTCGTGGCCCTGAGGGTGGCAGCTGCCACCTTGCACAGGCCAGGGTGAGCCAGGAGAGCAGCCTGGGGTGGGGCAGGGCAGGGGCTCAGCCCCTCTGGGCCCAGCAGTGCTCAGTGGTGGCCCTGTGGGTTCATTTTTACATCTGCCCATGGTCAGCCTGCACTGCTGCTCTTTGCTGCTCCCTGGTTACTCAGTGTTTTGCTCTCCCTTGCCCTGAAGGTGTTTCCCCAGCTGCTGCCATGAAGTGCCCTGGGGTTGTTTGGCTGTGCCACCTTCCCCAGGAGCTGCAATGGCTGAAAGCCCCCAGGATATCAACTCCAAACTAAAGCAAACTGAAACTACTGCTGACTAAACTACCACTGGTGTGGCTGAACAAGCTGAAATCAACCCAGGTCCAGAAAAGTCCCGAGCCTGTGGCTGGGCTGGTGCAGAACCTGGGGCCTTTCAGTGCTTCTAAATGACATTTCCTGGGCTGCTGCCTGCTGGAAAACACTGTGACACCTCCCCATGGCTGCTCTGGGCTGGCTGCATGGGGGCATCTCTGAGCAACTGGGCTGGCTGGGAGAAACATGTGCTCCCATGCTATCAGGATGGAAATATCCATCGTGTTCTGGTGTGAACAGGCTCATACTTGGCAGGTATATGGAGGGGGTAGTGGTGTAGGAAAAAATCTTTACAAAGGCCCAATCCCTGGGAAGGGGAGAACCATAAACGGTGGATTTCCAAGTGTCTCTGTCTTTCAGCCTGCTCTTTGTGCCATAATGTGTATGTTTTAAACGATGGTGAGGGTCTCAAAAGGCTCAAAAGAGCACAGCTACTTCTCATTTACAGATGACAAGCTGCCTGTTGTTTTGTGGTGGGCTTGGTAGGGGCTAAGGTATAGCAGAATATCTAAAGTCCACCTTTGCTTTAAACAGATGCATTTCTATCTGCAGGAGTAAGAATTATTTCACTTATCAGCATAGCTGGACAGTTATCTATTTCTTTCTGTTACCAAGGTACTTGTAACTCTCTTGCACTGTTTATCTAAAGTTGAAATATGTTCTTTGAATCCTTGTATAAATAAAAAGGCTGGAGACAAATCTGGATTTACAGGGCAATTATTTCTTCTCCATTTAAGCCAAGTCTGGCTTTTCTTTCTTTTTCACTTGTTAAGGCACAGATAAAGGGCAGGTCAGGAGCCCTGAGGAAGGAAACCATGTTTAGGCACAGGTTGGGCTGATGGCAGTGTTGGCAGCAGGGATTTTCCTGCATTCCTGCACCACTTAGAGGAGCAGCTGCTGGGTTCTGTGGATGTGTGTTTGTGGGAACAAGGTGAGCCTGGCTTGAGGATCCTAAGTTGTCTCTTTCTCATCTAGAAGCACAGAAAGTCATGGCATAGCAGTGCAAAAATCAGAAATGCCCTTGGTATTGGTCATTACAAGGTGTTGTGGTAATTACAGACCATGGCTTTGCACCAGTGCAGCTGTTGGACAGCTCACAGCAGGCAGAGCAGTGAGGGGGATGTTTGAGCTCCAGCATGTGCCTGAGACTGGACTGGTGCAGCGGAAGGGTTTGTGCTTCAGCTCCATCCACTTCCAGAACAGGGGGAATGCAGCTGTCAAGGTGAGGAGTTGGAAGCTGCTCATGAAATGTCTGAGAGACTTGGTAACTGAAAACTAAAGTGTATCTTTCTGCCTGGAAGCAAATATCAGCTACATTTAATAAACTGACTGATACCCTTGAGTGAGTAGGTATTTCTTTAGGTTCCTCTCCTGCAGATATTTGCACCACATCCACACATTTATATAAATATAACAAGTGCAAAAATATTGGTCTTCTCCTTGGAGGTTTTGTGCACACCAGTTGCCTGCTTTGCCTCCTCCGTGTCTAATTACGATCTGAAATAACAGCCTCTTACAGCTTGGTGTTTACTAAAGGTGTCTGAAAGCATTTCTGCAGTCCATAATGTCCCTGAACACTGCATGTTGGCCAGTTCACTGCTGAGAGCTTGCAGGAGGTGGAGGGTGTGGTACAAGCCCAGCTCCCCCTCGGCTGCAGCCTCACATCACTGCTTCCCCAGGCAGGGAAGCTCCAAGGGCTCCAGGAGAGCCCAGCCCAGCCTGGGAGCTCACCAAGGCAGGGGGACAGGAGACAGCCATGGTGACAGGGCTGCTGGCACTGCACCCTGGCTGCCAGGGCCACCAAAACCAGGAATACCCAGTGAAATCTGGACTGAGGCATCAAACCCTTTCTAACGAGGGGTGAGGCTCTTACCCTGCAGTTCAGCATCTTCTTACAGAGGCAGCAACTGCCTTCACTGCCAGAAGATGGCATTTGTGTTTAACTTATCAGTTACTCTGTGTGGTGACAACTGCCCTGTCCCCACCTCCTCCTCTGCACAGAGACACGGTGCAGGGAGGGCTGGGGGGAAGGGCTCCCCTTGGTGGCATGAATGACCATTCTGAAGTCAGCTGCAGGCAGGCAGCCTAAAAACATCCACAGCCTCGGAGACAGGGAGCTCAGCTGCAGCCCCAGTGGAGCAAAAGTGACAAGAAAGGTGCCCTGAGATGATGTCACCTGGGTGATACCTGGATCAGTGCTGGGATGGGCTGAGGGAACTGGTAAACCAGTAACTCCCACCAGGCTTGTCTGGGGGATCCCAGAGCCATCTGATGGGCTACTGCCACCCAGCAGATCAGTGAGGGTTCGTGGCACAGCAAGTGTGATGCCAAGTGAAACCAAGGTCACGGTTTAGGTATGAACTGGAGTGTGCCCATACAGCACCACCCAGGGACTCTGCAGGGGCCCAGGAAAGGTCACTGATGGGTGCAGGCAGAAGGGTGAGCCCCTGTCAGAGGAAGGCAGGGCAGCAGCTCTTTCCCACAGTGTGGGGCATTGCCGTGTGCCTGTCCCACAGGGGAGTCCATGGCAGTGACTGCAGAGAGGCTCCTTGCCTGAATGCCCCCATCATGGTAATAAGGGGTGTGCCATGGAATGCTAAGTTGGGCAAGTCACTGCCAGGGAAGGTCCAATATCCCTGGAAAGAATGGCTGTGGAGGGGCCCAGGAGCCCTCCCCATGCTGCTGGGGTGGGCAGCATCAGGGGTCTCCTGCTGAGCTTTCTCCTTCCCAGCCTGAACTGAGCCTCCTGGGGCCCTGCAGCAGCCATGCCCTGAGCACAGGAAGCAAGGGGGCAGGTGAATCAGCCTTCATGTGCTGGGTAACAGGAGGGACAGCCTGCTCTTGTGCTTATGTGAGAGAGCTGAATCCCTTGGCCCCAGAGCCAACATCTCACTGACAGGCTGCTGTTGGCACAAAGGATGGCAGGTGTGTGGCAGGTCCAGTTCTCCTCCCTCCATGGTCGAATATAAGCTCCTCCTTGTACCTCACTTCTCATTCCTGCATGGGTGGCATTGCACTTCACAGCAGTCTGTGCTCAGCTGCTGCAACAGTTCAGGTTCATTTTTGTGTCAGGTTCATTTTTGTATGAATCAAATGCTCCCGTTTGGCCTGAAAGCAAAGGGTTGAAGCAGCTCAGCCTCCAGGAAGCAGCTGGCACCTGTGACCAGCCCTGAGCACCTGCCCACACTGGCCAAGGTGACCTTCACCTGGCTGGGCTTGGCCCATCCCCACCCATCCCGTGCAGTTTAAACCCACGGCAGCACACTCAGGTGCAGGATGCTCTCTGCCCTGGCAGCACACCAGCAATTCTACTGAAGTCCAGACAGATCAGCACTATGCTATCTGGCCAGCCTGGTAAATCATTTTCTGGAGTTTTTGTTGTAGGAAAGGGGCACCGAGAGGCTCTGGAAAATCACAGAATCAATCACAGAATATGCTGAGTGGGAAGGGCCCACAAGGATCATGGAGTCCAAGTGCTGGTGCTGCACAGAACATCCCCAAGAGTCACACCACGTGCCCAAGAGTTCAAACACTCCCTGAGCTCTCTCAGGCTCGGTGCTGTGCCCACTGCCCCGAGCAGCCTGGTTCAGTGCCCAACTGGATCTTCTCTGGGTGAAGAAGCTTTTTCTAATATCCAACCTAAACC